ATGGTGGAGAAACAACTTATTACAAGAAACTGTTTATCTCTCTCATCTGTTACGTGGTAAAAAGTACAAGGGATAAGTTAAATATATGAATATGTTGGTAATTTATTTCCTTAATTCATTAAATGCTAGTGAAAAGGAGGTAAACAGTAGTTTGTAGCTAAGCTAATTATGCTAAATGGTTGATAATCTCACACAGTCTACCCACCTCTCTCGGAGAAAAATTGGGTTATAAATTAATACTCTTGAATTTTTCTCTCTCTCCCTCTCTCTCTCTCTTTTTTTGAAAACCTGATTTTATAACTTTTCTTAGCAGCATAGTAATTGCCACAATCGTTCGTGATTTCCACTGGATGCTGCTAACAGCGTCACTCTCAAGCGCTCCAAGCAGGAATGAACCATTTAACGCAGATAGGGAGCCATTCAGGGCAAATATGGATGTGTGATTTTTGATCTGGGAGTGGGAACATAAAATTTTTACTGCTAAAAACAATCTTTGAAAATACAATATGATTAATTTTGTAATTGACAGGGACCCGATTTTTTGTTTTAAATTCTATGAACAAAAAATAAATTGTGGAGGGACCCCTGTCGGTCAGGGACCCTAGAATTGTCATCCCCTTTCCCCCCTATACCACACCCCTGGTTCACATATGCAGTTTTCTGTGTCATAACCCACAGCAGCTTAACCCAGATGACAGATGAGGGCAGATGCCAATCCGTACAAAATACTTATTAAATTCTAACAGTTTACAATGTATTCATTGCAATGCTATAGTGACAGTTGTTGAGCATTTTAAAATACATTTTTCTGTACTTTTTTATGCTTCAATATTTTCTGTGTCTGAATGTTGCTCTGCTATAAAAAGGAATTGTGAAGAAGTGAAGGATTTAAATAATGCCTTAGTTTCTTGGACACTTTAAGGATTATTTTACGTCGCCTTTGTTTTATTGGACTTTGTGGAGAAGCAGTAGGATGAGGATGAGAGGCTTGATGACATGAAACATAAATAACTGGATGATGTCAGAGTTTTATGGCAGCGGAGGCTTCATGAGGCTCGCTGTGCCACGTGGGGCTGTTTTATGACCTCGTAGAACAGCTTTGTGAAGTGGACTTCCAGAGACGCATTTATTCAGCTCAAAACCAAAGATTGACAATTATTCAAAATCATTACCTTTCATTCGGAAGATGAAAGCACCAAAGATGAATCCCAGTTGTTCACCCGGGGGGGGAGGCCTGGAGGCAGCTCATGAACTCGGAACCAGCTGGAAAGATCACATCTCGCAGTTGGCTTCAGCGCCATCATTGTCTTCACAGATGAGCCAGAGGAGCCCCTTAGGAAGAGAACACGGATGGATGGAAGGGATTTTTATAGAAGCTTAGATTTTAACACCATGGATGTTTCTGGGAGCGTCAAGATGGCAGCTCTAAAATATGACTATTGGTTTCTTTAGTAAGTCTTACACACACAAGGAACAAAAATGAAACTTTTCAACGTGAAAAGTTAAAGATCTGTGGATGCAGGGTGTTGGGGTTCTGATCCCGGTATCTACATGTGCTGATACCCCAAACTAGTTAGTTTGCCTTGAAAGGTCAATTTGTTTGGTACACACTAAAGAAATGAAATAAGTAAATTACGAGAATAAAGTCAAAATAACACGAGACTAGTCAAAAAAAGAGATTAAAGTCGTATTACAAGAACAAAGTGATAAGACAAGAATAAAGCCGTAATGTTATGAGAATAAAGTCATAGTATTATGGAATTAAGTCGTATTACAACAAGAAAGTCATAATATTATGACAATAAAGTCAAAACAATGAGATTAAAGTCAATATTTTGTGAATAAAGTGATATTATCAAGTGATCCTATTACTCTAATAATACTATAACTTTATTCTCTTAATTTTATGACTATGCTGTAATTTTGTTTTCTTGGCCCCAACACTCGAATCAGAGATTGGAGAGTGAATTAAAAAAAAAAAAGAAAAAAAAGTGTCAGAAATGGGAAGACGGAGGTTAAAAGGAAGCTGTATGTGTTTCGTTCAGTGGAATAATTTGTTGGAGGAAAATAATGCAGGAGGAAATCCACTGCTACGGAAAAGGTTGAGAACAGCGGCAGCGATTCGGCACAAAGTAAGTCAATACGTGTGTGGTGATGTATGCGTTTGTGTTATACGGAGTATGAAATTATTTTTAGGCAACTATTTAGCTTTTGTTTTTATGACAATTATATAAAATACATTTAACATGCAGTCGGAGCGCCCCTCCAATAAGCACGGCAATTTAAGAACAGCTGAGGGCAGCAACGCTTCAGCCCGATCCAAACCACACAAGTAGTCAGTCAGATTAATGTGCAAAACCTTCACTTTACAGCCGTTTAAGTGGCACCGATCCACATAAAAACCCCACAGAACAAATGGTACAAATCACGTATTTCCCGAATCCCGAAAATATGACATCTACCTTTGCTGTTTCATTATTATAATCCACGTTAGAGTGAATTTTTCCCTTGGCTGCTATAATCTCTTCTTCCTCTACACAACGTAATTTTTCTTTTTTTTTTTCCAGGTTTGCATGCAACACCTTGTGATGTGTTTCTGAGCCATGATCGCTGTGCTGATTACCTTTCCATTGGATCCAAGCACCTGGACCAGCTGACGGCGTCCATCAGTCCCCGGTCTGCCGGATCTTCACAACGTGGACTAACTTTTTTTTTACTTGGTTAAACTATGATCTGGAAACCGGAGCACCAGATATGCAAAAATCTACCTGCAGACTTTGTTGGCTACCCTGACACTGCAGTCATCCTGGATGGGGCTGAGCCGGTCTTCCTCTCCTCCAGAGTGGCGAGTTTTTATCACCAGTAAAGGCAAACAAGTCTGATGTCTGGTTAGCTGCTAGGAAGTATATTATATAGCCACTGTTCAATTTTGCTATCCTGTTTGTACCTACAATAAAACTGAATCTCATTTGTAATACTCTACATTTCACAAACCTTTTTTTCCCCATTTCTCGGTGTTTACGTTATATCAAGTATTTGCATGTAGATCAGGAATTCAAGTGAGACATTAAATGCAACACATTTAGGTAATGCCAGCAAAGAAATGTGAATATTAAGTAACTGAATAAGGCTGGATGATATGACTTACAAAAGTTTTTTTCATACCAGATTTGATTTTAATCGATTCCTCCCATCCTCCATTTCTATAATAAAATCACATAAAATATTTTCAAAAAGTGCCTTTATTTCAATCATCTGTTCTGTGAGTTGTATAAGGGAGCAGGATACAAGAAATTTTAATTGCAAGAATGCAGTCATCGTTACAGCAGAATAAAGATGCAATTTTATAACAATGTCTTAAAATTACAAGATGTTTTAATGAGAAATAAAGATTCAGATTGATCTGATGTAACCAGCTCAGTCCATGTGTTTCTGACAGTTGTCAGTAAGAGGATGTACATTTCCACCTCAACTGACCAGGTAAGCATTAAGGTAAAAATAAAAAATAGAGCAAATAC